CCTATCCAGAGATTATATTTTATCTAAATTCTCAAACTGCTAAAAACAAGTTTTCAACTAAACTTTTAGAATATGTAAGAGAGACTGACTATATATCCGATTGGGCAAAAACTGTAACCTATGATACCTTCCCAGTTGAATTCAATGCCATGAAATCTTTAATTGACTTTATTGATCCAACCATGGAGACCTCCAACCAAGTTCTAATGCAATTCATTGGTCAATATGTTCTCTACCAATTCCAAAAGGGTAATAAAATGACTGATGCCATTCTAACTGATAACATTAGAAAGATTTTAGATGAAATTGAAAATACTATAAAAACTGATGAACCTGAAAATGCCAAAGTTAAGAAAGTAATAGATCAGCTAGCCACTATTCTACCACCAAAGATTGGTGTCATTGGTCTAGCCAATCAATTCTCAGATATACTTTTGGCACTGTTTAAAACTGATGCAGCTACTCTAATGGACCAAACCAAATGGAAGAATAGATTGCATACATTCCTAGCTTCAAAGGGTGTAACTGCTGATAATATTGAAACAGGTAAATTTAGACTAAATGTATTCTTTAGAGTCATTCAAGTTGGTGTACTGATGTTAACTGGCGCAAACGATATCTTTATTAAAGATGGTAACTTGAAACCAATGAAAATTGTTAGTTTAATTGCTGAAACTATAAATACTGGGTAAATATCTATATTATTTTAACTATCTTCAATTGCAATAACACTATTTTTATTATAATTATAGGTTGGATGCAGCTACTAGTTTTACGCTTATTGATAATTTTTTAACTAAAAAATTAGGATCATTTTGGGTAAATACAATAGGTAAAGCAATTAATTGGGCAAATCCTGGTTTCCTAAAGACTGGATTACAATTATTTACAACTAATGCCTCAAAAATATTTACTGGTTCTGTATCATCATTTGTTGCACAGAGACTTGCACCTGCTATGTTATTGGTATCAGCCTGTTTATCATTTAGTGATTATTTAGAAAACAAAGATAATAATATTCAAGCTGCACTCGTGGATCTTTCAGCTGGTTTTATTGCACTCTCTGGAACACTTGCGACCTGTGTATTGCTATTTTTTGGTATGGCAACTGCAGCTGGTATTGTAGGTGCTGTCATTGGTTTAGTATTAATTGCTATTGGTCTAGTTAAATGTTTTGTATTCCCTGATAAACCTGATCTTGATTTATTCTGTGAACTTTACATTAGAGATTTATTAACTCCTAATGGCCCAGAAATTGATATTCCAGCTAAATAAAAAAAATATGCATTTAGATTTATTTCTAATAGAATTCATAGACAGAGATAATCCGATAAATTAAAATGTTCAAAGGATCGTACTGGTATCTCTTAGTTTAAAAAGTAACGTTACAACACAACAGTACTTGAAAACCGTCGACGACAAATTTGGAAGGATGAGGGTTAAAATGAATTTAATTTAAAAAAGATCTAAGTAAATTTAATTCAAAAGAATTGATTGAAATTTGATTGGATGTTAAAAATAGTTTAATTAAAAATCTAATTTTTCATTAGGTTTTTTTTTGCAAGATAATTCAATATTATTATAAAAATTAAAAAATCAAACGATATATTTATTTTAAACCGAAAATAGAGTTGTTTTTTTTTTTTATTTGAAAAATTGATATAAAATGGTTTGGACTAGACCCGAAATATCATCATTTTCCACCTGATTTCAATTATTTAAAATTCCACATTATTGCATTCTTTGACGGATATGAAATTTGAAACCCATTTTTAGATTTTAAAATAAGATAATTGGGAAAAACGTCGTTTCAAAAAACTGATCGTCTATTTAATGGATTAAAATTTTTTTTTTTTTTATCAAATAATTAAAAATCATGAACTCTAAAATTATATTTGTATTATTACTATTACTTAATGTAAATTATAGTAAGTTAAACTATTCAAAGATTGTAATTAAATAATATCCTAACCATGTTTATATATAAATAGTTTATTGTGTAAAATTATCAATTGTAAAATTAATAGGTGCTCAAAGTCATTTAATACCACAACCAAATGGATTAAGTTGGACTCTAGTTGATAATTCCAACAAGACAATTTCAAAATCGTTACATTTGACTGGAGGTAAATCAACATTACTTATATTTGAGTTTGGAAAAACTGATTTAGTTAGTCCTTCTGTACAGGCTTTTCAAGGCTCAACATCACTAGGAACCCAAAATTTACTTGCTCCTAATCAATTGGCACCTACTGAATCGAATGGCACTGCATTTTCAACTACCGCATATTCAGTTAATGCACCATTAAATTGGATAGTTCCTGGTGTAACTTTAAAAGTATCCGCAAGTAATTACGAGACTTCAGATGCCATTGCTTTGAATACTGGTTGTACAGCATCAATGAACCTATTGATATTCCCATTGTTTCTATTTGGAGCTAATTTTGAAAATTCTGCAAATTTCTCAACTGCAACTTCAATTCCAGAAAATGTGTTAGATGAATTGACAAATAAATGGCCTGTAAGTGAAATTGATGTTCAACCACATCCAAGTGGTGGAATAGTTTGGCCATCTTTAATTTTACCACCTAATGGTACACATCCAGCATTCTTAGCAACAGCTTCAAGTCAACAGAGAGATGGTTTTGAAATGATGGGTATTCTTTTAGGTCTTCTTGGAAGAATTTATTCAGTCTATGGTGACTCTAAATTAAACACTCAATTGTATGGTCCAATCAGTTGGAAGAACTCTGCTGGTAAAATTATAGGTCCAGGAGGTGGTTTAGGTACAGTTGGTGGAAGTTGTGGTGTTGGAGATTTATCATACGCAGGTATCTTTATTCATGAGCAAGGTCATGCTTTTGGTCTTCATCATGCTGGTGAATCTTATGCTAGTGGTAATTACCCATACGTCAATGGGTCCCTACTTGGAAGTCAATGGGGATATGACACCAATAAGAATCAACTTTTGTCAACAGTAGTTCCAACTTCTGCAAGCCATTATGCAAATTGTAAAAAAAGTTCTGTATTGAATGCTCAAGATCAATGTGTAAAACAGTCAGTTATGCAAGGTGGTTCTGGTGATCAAGCTTCTGGATACCGTTACACAATGTTTGCTGATTATGAAGCCGCAATAATGCAAGCTTATTTTGAAGGTACTACAACAAAGAATGCAACAACTGGTGTAAATTCATACAGTGGTGGTAAAGTATTTAGATCTCAAACATTTTCAAGTGGATATGCTCGTTGGGATAGTATTGATAATAAATTTGTTGAATACACCCCTACTACAACTGATGGAGGTCTCTATGGTATTAATGGTAATTTTCCAGTTCAAAAGAATGTTCCAGTATATACATTTATAGCTTCACTGTCTATTGCTGGTACAAAAGGAGCATCAATTATATACCCACCATTATATGCCCAAAATGGTGCACTAATTCAATATTTTGATCCAACTAGTGCCACTGATTTGGCATTGATTAAACCAAACTCTGGTGGAAAATATTATTGGTATTGTCATGCTGATGGTTGTGATTTTACCTATCGTATCACATATCAAGATTCCACCGTTAGTCATGTAATTGTACAAGATGGACTTAGACCATGGTTCAGTATCAATGGTACCATTGATCCACAATACTATAATGCAACAGCACCAAAGAGTCAAATGACTTTTGTTGTAAATATTCCAGCTTCAAAACCAGTTTCAAGATTTGAAATTCTCTATACACCCAATGCCTATGTTGGTTTGAAAAATACCACTGTAACTGTACTCATTGACTACGATTGCAAAGGACAAGGTAAAGACATATCTTGTTCTATTCATGTACCACCATCTTCCTCCGATAGCACTGACTCTGAATCTGATGATATTTCATTTTCATCTAAAATTCATGTAAATTTATATGTTATCTTATTATTGTTATTAATTAACTATTTTATTTAAATTAAAATAATATTATTAAACCATTTTTATTCATTCGATATTCACATTCAAAATACAAAATAAATACTTCTTTATTTCTATTATTCTGATAATATACTTGTTGTTAACAGCCAGGTGATTCATATAAAGTGTAGAATGTATTGATTAAATTTGAATCCAAATAAATATTTTTTTCATTATATTTAATATCTATTATTATTGGTTTTTGATTCTTGTGTAAATATAAGGAAAAATATAAAGACTAAAAGATGTTTGTATAACTATGATGAATATATATGATAGTCTTTATTTTATACGAATAACAGAATTGAGGTCGGAATATTAGGTATTAGATGAGATGGTCTGAGATATATGTGAGTAATGATAGGTATCATTCCTGCTTACTAGAATTCTTATTAAATACAAAATAATGATAGATGGGTAGCAGTAATGATTGAACCTATCATTACTCATATATCTCAGACCATCTCATCTCAGATCACATCATGATCACATCACACATCTATTATTCCGAGCTCAACTCTGTTATTCGTATTCATAAAATAAAGACTATCATATTACATATTCATATTAGATATACAAACATCGTTTAGTCTTTATATTTATCCCAATACGTTTACAATTAGATGTTATTTTTTGGCTAAATTATCACAACTCATAATCATAACGCATCTGTAAACGTATTGGACTAATAGAAAGATATATGAAGTGATCATGATGTGATCTGAGATATCTATCATTACGGCTACATAATTGTAGCCCACTTCAAGTATTATCGAACCATCTATATTTCATTGCTACCTATTGAATTTAGATGATATAAAAAGACCGCGCAATATGGTACCACAATGGAAAAGTAGCTTTTTTGGAGAATACTTTTATAAGATTTAGCGTCAATGGGGAATAATGGAAATAGGAGGTTTGGTAGGTCTTGAGCTTGGCTACAATTATATGTGCATAAAATAATCAAACGCACGTGGTATAATGAGTTTCTAAACGCACAAAAAAACACCAAAAAACACCAAAAAAATTTTAAAAGAAAAAACATATACGCTTTTAAGTGGGATCGAACCACTGACCTAGCGGTTAACAGCCGCTCGCTCTGCCGACTGAGCCATAAAAGCTTACATATTCTACGGATTTATATTTGATTTAAAGTAGCTAAAATAAATTAGCCTTTTTTAGTTGTAAGAATGCTCCTTACCAAGTTCCACAAGAGTACAGTATAGATTAGTATAAAGTATACATAAAAGGTAGTCAGGAATGGATGACTATCATCTTTTAGCGTAACTGTTAATACTGTATCTCTTACATAGTATAGCATCTCATTAAATCTTATGATTCTATATTCTAAGTTCCATATTTTAAATAACTAACATTATAAAAACAAAATAAAATAATTAATCAAGACATTATCATTTATATCATAAAAATATTAATATTTACCCTTTGTTATTACATAAATAAACTTTAGATCCAACTCCTACATGTTAGGGGTCTTGGCATAAGGGTATCAATTGGTACGCCTTTTACAAAAAAAAATTATTTGGTAAGTTCTCCTATGAAGATGCATGGACGTATCGATGGAGATGCCGTCTGAATATATGAATTACTGCTTTGAAGCCTGGAAGGAATACACAAATTCAAAAATAGAAATAGGATCCAGGACAATATTCATATTAAAAAAATTGTAGTTTAAAAAAACAATAAAAATATTGTTAAATTTAAATTTGGGATAATAATAAATTCAATTTATATAAATAATTGCATTTTGGGCATTTGGATTATGTTTCTACCACGAAAAAAAAACATATTTTTACAAAAAAAAATAATATTATTTTTTTTTTTATAAATAAAGATATAAAATCAGATGAACTATGGGAATTCAAGGTCTTTTACCAGCATTAGCACCAATAACAAAGAATATACATGTAAAAGATTATTCAGGTAAAAGAGTTGCTATTGATGGCTATAGTTGGCTACATAAAGGGGCCTATTCATGTAGTGAGGAACTATGTCAAGGTAAACCAACACAAAAGTATATAAACTATTGTCTCAATCATATAAGAATGTTAAAGAGTTTTGGAATTATACCAGTGGTTGTATTTGATGGTGGACCACTTCCGAATAAAAAAGGAAAAGAACAAGAGAGATATCAAAGTCGTGAAGAATACAAACTCAAAGCCAAAGCCTATTTGATGGAGGGTAATAGAATGTTAGCAAACAGTTGTTTTCAAAAGGCTGTTGATATCACACCGAGGATGGCTTACAATTTGATTAAAGAACTTCAAAAAATCAAATGCGAGTATTTGGTGGCTCCTTTTGAAGCAGATGCTCAATTGGCATATCTAGCAATTACAGGGCAAGTCGATGCAGTTATCACCGAGGATTCTGATTTAATTGCTTATGGTACACCAGATATCATATTTAAAATGGATAAACAAGGTTATGCACAAGAAATTAGGATTGAAGATATAGGATCGTGTAATAAGGGGGGTTATGATTTTGTTGATTTTAATCTGACAATGTTAAGACACATGTGTATACTATCAGGTTGCGACTATTTACCGTCTCTTCAAGGAATGGGTTTAAAAACTGCTTATAAACTCATTAAACAACACAGAGAAATTGATCAGGTTTTTAGACATATAAAGAGAGAGAAAAAGATTTTGATGACTCCTGACTATGAATTGATGTTTCATCGTGCTGATTTTACGTTTCGTCATCAGAGAGTTTATGATCCGTGTACTAGGAAACAAGTTACAGTGTTACCTTTAGATAAAGAATATTTGGAAGAGGATATATTCTTTATAGGTCAGGTTCTAGATGACCATATAGTTGAACGTATTAGTCTAGGTATTATAGATCCAAATACTTTTGAAGTATTTGATTCCAATAGTAAACCTCCTACAATTTCATTTCAAGTTCAACCTCGTAAAGACAGTTACAACATTCAATTTAATAATCAAAATGTACATAAATTTAATAGTATAGATAAATCAAAACCAGTTGATCATTTTCAGTATAATAGAATAACTCAATATTTAGTTAAACCTCAACCTCAACTTGACCAAGATGAATTTAATTTTGATATAGATCAAGAAGATTTATTATTTAATAGTGATAGTGAAAATAACCAAAATAATCAAAATCTTCAATTATTTAATAATAGAATTCAACAACAACAACAACAAGTAAACACAACAACAAAAACAAAAAAAGTAAAAGATAATGAATTTATATTAGATAGTGATTATGAAGAAGTACCTTCTTCAGATGGTGAAGATAATTATATAAAACAACAACAACTACAACAGAGAAGTTCAACAGCATCTATATCTTCTTCAACTTCATCTCCAAGTGGTAAAACTAATAAGATATTTGTAAAATCTAGATTTCAATTTACAGCTACTTCATCATCTTCTGCAGTATTATCATCAACAACTTCTAAATCAAAATTAGGTTTGGAAGATGATGAGATTCCAAGTTCTGATAATGATTTGGATGAGGATATAGATGAAGTTTTAGAATCTGATAATGAAATTATATTAGATAGTGATACTTCATTTGAAGTAAAATCATTAAAAAAGAAACAACAACAACAAGAAAAATCAACACTTTTAACCAAAGATAGAATTAGTTTAAATTTTTTTGATCAATTTCAATTCAATGGTAGAAAAAAAGAAAGTATTCTATATAATGCAACAAAACCATCACCACAACAACAACAACAATTACCAACACCACCTCAATCACTATCACTATCCACTAGTAATAATACAATTTCAACATTTTTTGCAAATAGGCAAAATCAACAACAAACACAATCTCCACCATCATCTCTATCACTTTCAAATAATAATGTAAATAACAATAATAATAATAATAATAATAATAATAATAATAATAATAATAATAATAATAATAATAATAATAATTATAATAACAAAAAGAGAAATATTGAAGATGAAATTGATTCCTCATTTACATATAAAAAAGCTAAATGTATAAATTCACAACCTACAACTCCAATATCTTCACAATCTGATAATATTAATAATATTAAAAATAATAGTAATATACCATTACCTGGATCACCATCAACTCTAAGGAAATCATTAACCTACCCTTCATTAGACTCTGATGAAAATATTTTAAATACTATTATGGAAAGACAATCATCTTCAACTTCTTCTTCATCTTCAAATTCAAATAAATCAACAGATAAACTATATACAACCACACCAACTAATACAACAACAACTACAACAACATCTAATGTACCAATTAATAATAATAATAATTTATATACAATGGATTTGAATATTAGTAATGGTATTGATCCAATTCCTATAAACAAGACAGATGAACCAATTGTAATATCACCTGAGAAATCTAGTAGTTCGTATGGTAACAGTAGTGCCGATATATTATCAAAGTATTTTTCACCTAAAAAACTAACAGGTGGTTCTACACCTTCGTCTCAACAAGTGGGTGCTAGTAGTCAATTACATTCTAATGATACTACAACTACTACTGGTGCTATTAATTTTAAATCTAGATTATTACAGAGGGTAAAACAAGCAATGGAATCTCAACTACAGTCACAACAATCACACAACTAACAAATTTGATTTTTTTTAATTAAATAATTCAAATAAATTATAATTGTGATTATAATAATGTATTAACCTTAATAATAATTTCTCTTATACTTGAAAAATCATTATTGGTTGTCAGAACTGAATAGAAACAGAACTTGAAATGTAAATTACCTGTCATCGAAATAAATTTAAAAAAAAAAATTCAGTTGATTTTAAAACTTTACTCATATCGCGAGATAATTTGTATTATATTATATATTTCATAATGTCAATATCTGGTATTGTTAGACTTGGAAAGCCTTCTAAAAAGGCTATATTTTCATTAGTATGTTTAATGTTAGATTATGAAAATGAGAATATAAAGATTAACTTGAATATAAAACTATAGACAGATTCAGCAAGTAAAAGATTACATGAAATTATGAAAGAGAATAAAATGGAACATTGTATAGGTTTAAAATTAGGAGTTAAACAAAAAGGATGTTCAGGGCTTGCCTATACATTAGATTATGCAACACAAAAGAACAAATTAGATGAGATTGTAACTGATAATGGTATAAATATTATAGTAGATAGTAAAGCATTAATGTCTGTCATTGGTACTGAAATGGATTATATAACTGATGACTCAAAGAAAGAATTTATATTTATAAACCCAAATGCCACTAGTACTTGTGGTTGTGGTGAATCTTTTACAACTAAAGATACCTCTTCACCTTGGGGTTTTAATGCGAATATTAAGAAAACAGATACACAGCAACAACCAAATATTTTAAATAACAAAAATAATTCAAAAATTTAATATTTCTCATTGTATATATAGAGATGGTCGATATAGACATATACATCAATAATTACTATAAAAAAAGTATATACTTTTTTTATTGTTTGTTGTTTGTGGTTTCGTCATTATTTTATAGAGTATTTTCAAATTTATTTGCAGGTATATCAAAGAGAATTTTTAAAGTATTATGTTGATGGTCACCAGCAGTACTACTATTTAGTGGTGTGATATTAGATGATGGAGTAGTAGGTACAGATGTTGGTGATGTTATATTAGATGAAGAAAAGGTACTGACAGTACTAGTAGCCATTGTAGGTGTTGCCGTAGATTGTGGTGTAACATTAATTGTTGCGCTACTGCTACTATCGGTAGATAAACTATTTGATAATTGATTAGGTTTCATTGAAAATTCCATTAAAAGTGTAAATTTAATAGATGGAAATGTTGATGGATATTTCTCTAATTGCACTGCAGTTGTAGTTCTAGGACTATTGGTAGAAACCAATTCGGATGGAGTTATAGATTGTTCAGTTACAGTTAATATTGTTTGATCTAACATTAGAGCACTTGGAACTACTTTAACAAAAAGTCTCAGTATGAGCTTATTGTCTTTTCTCTCTACTATATATCTTGTGGAATCTTTGATTTTTAATTGTTGGATATATACTTCTTTATCCTGATCGTCAATTTCATCTAAAAGACCATTTACAAAGGTCTCAGTAGGGAGAATATCTAT